ATTCATTCTTGCCAAAATACCGAGACAAGCAACAGAGTATCTTAGTTTAGACATCATTGGCATTGATAACGCACTAGAAACTGATTGGCAATCCCTATACCCCGTCGAATATCTAAACTCCCTAGAATTCCCTGGATTACCGAGTTATAGACTACATCTGAAAGTTGGGGCCCCCGTGATGATGCTAAGAAACATCAATCAAAAGAAAGGATTGTGCAATTGGACACGACTAATAATAACTCAGTTGGAAAAACGAGTTTTGGAAGCAGAAATTATGACAGGGCCAAACAATGGGAATAAGGTACTTATCCCACGAATTATTCTCTCGCCAACATATTCAAAACATCCGTTCACATTGCGAAGAAGGCAATTTCCAATAAGACTATGCTATGCAATTACAATAAATAAAAGCCAAGGACAAATTCTAAAACAAGTAGCCTTATACTTGCCATGTCCAATCTTCAGCCATGTCAACTATATGTCGTACTCTCCTGTGTTACTTCTGCAATAGGATTAAAAATCCTAGATGATACGGAACACTCTGGTGTCAAATCTGGCATCACCAACATTGTTTACCCAGAAATCTTCAACGAACTACCGATACCATGAGGTTAGATCTAAAGAAGAAGAAACTTATACCCATCATTTTCACACATATGTAGACAAGTACACGGTAAAGTAAAATTGTGAATATGGAATGCACCAGATATATATATATATATATGTATGTATAACTTTTCGTAATGTTCCTACGTCATTTAAAATTGAACATATTGTCATTATCCTACTAATAATAATCTTTATATTTTAAGCAGGATCATACCATCACGATTTATGTGTAAGTATATTTGTACTCCGTTCAAACCGATGTTTTATTCTCATTAAAGTAATGATTATATATACTACACTATACATAATGTCATTATTGATCAGATTAATTCCAATGTAGGAATTAACAAATCAACCTCAACCAGTGATATCAACCCATGCAAGTTTAGAACACAAGAGAAAACATCACAGTTATGGATGTATCATGGTCAGATTTTTAAGGACATGGGATTGAAAGGAATCCTTTTAATGGAAATGAATATCGTGGCATTGGCTTCTTATTAATTGATAAAAATGTATGTCTTTCTTAACTTTTTTTATTACGTTATAATTATCAGTAATCTGATCTTCTCCAATAACAACATTACAGGAGCATGTTGTTGAAGGAAAAATATCCCAAAATCATGCAAACCAATTTAAACATGTCATAAATGAGGAAGATATATTCCTTATCAGCCATTCAAGCTTCTACACAATAACAACAGATACAAGTTAAAGAAACAGAAATTCTGTATTTATTTAATGGAATATACTACTGTTAAAAGGGTTGCTCCCACTTCATGTGATATTGTCAAAGAGAAATTTCGGATATATTTATATGATGATTTGGCATTGGCAGGTAAAAAGCAAGATTTTTCAGGTACTGTGTTATCATACAAAGAATACAACCGGGAAAAAAATTCAATGGGTTCTATATATAATCAAGATATTCTCTCATATTGCAAATATTATTGGAGTTTTGGTTGCAGTTCACTGACCAAACTCACGGATGGTATCGTCAACTCAGAAAATTACCCTCCGATTATTATTGAAAGAGTAGGTTTTCAACATTTATTTGCATTGCAAGATATGTTGTCTTACAAAATGACTCTAATTAGTTTGATAAATACTAACATGTAATTTTAATATGCAGCACAACAACAACATTGTCAAGATTTGCATATAGGATGACATTGCCGCCCAACTCCGGTCAGAAATGCATAGATTGAATGTTCAAAAAGGTATCATCGTCATTATTGGTGTAAACCCAAAGATTATTAACGATAATTATTTAACACAAACACAATCATAAATATTTTACAGGCTGATATTTAACGACCACTATCATTTTTATATTGAGCTTACTAATACATTCTATATCTCAGGTGTTCTATCGCTTAGCACATCAATGTCCACAAAGATTTACATAGATGAAAACCTCAACGTCATCAGAATTTCAACTGTGGTAAATAAATCATATCATTATTAATACAAATAATACGCATCTCTAATTTTTTTTTACCAGTAGCAAATGAAGGAAAACAATGGTACCGCCACAATATATCATAACCATTGAACCTATATATCATCTACGAAGCGATATCAATATTCTATAATTGATTTAATTATATTTATAAACAAAAGGGAGATTTACATATTAAATATTGAACTTTAACCAAATTTCCAAATTAAATACTTAACTATCCCACTTTCAAATTAAATACTCAACTATATTGAAATTCACAAATAAAAACTAAACTTTTCAAATTTTAACATATACCTAAAGGATAATCCAAAACAAAACCCTTTACTTTTTTTTTCATCACAATTTAAACCCTATACTTTTTTTTATCCAAAAAAAACCCTATACTTTTCAAAATTTTAAAAATTATACACATTCATATACATATATTAATTATTATAAGCACAAAATCAATTACACATTTATTTTCCACAAAATTAATTGCACATTTATTTTATATAGTTATATGTATATATATGTTTTATATATATGCGTGATATATGTATTTTTT